GCGTGGTGTTAGAATTCTGCTTTTTATAAGAGCCCTATTTTTCTTAGAGTTTTGACCTAAGGAAAAACCTGCGTTCTAGAAGTTTAGGGCACATGGGTCTGATCATAGCCAAGTTCCTTTTCATGGTATTACCCCTAGAATGATAGTTACTTTCACCTGAGGTTCCCGTCATTTGCTTTTAACTGCTTGTGTTTTCTGGTTGGTCTGAATAAAGTCTAGTTACGGTTTTGATCATTTCTCAAGTTAGGCTGAAGATTCTGGCCACCTGTTTCAGTTGGAATACTGTAAAGAGATTAAAAGTTTGTGACTAAGACCTCAAAGGCATAAATTTGAAACTGTTTTCATAGGGGGGGAGAAAAGGAGCTCATTAGATTCACTGTGAATTACACTTTGTGTTTTTTCTTTTAATCCTCACCTAAGGATATGTTTTTATTGATTTTTAGAGAGAGGGGAAAGGAAAGAAAGAAACATAAATCTGTTGCCTCCTATATGCGCCCCAATCGGGCATTAAACCCACAACCTAGGTATATGCCCTAACTGGAAATCCAACCCACAGCCTTTTGCTGTACAGTTCGATGCTCCAAACAACGGAGCCACTCAGCCAGGGGAATTACACTTTTTTTTTTAATATGTATATTTTATTGATTTTTTACAGAGAGGAAGGGAGAGGGATAGAGAGTCAGAAACATCGATGAGAGAGAAACATTGATCAGCTGCCTCCTGCACAACCCCTACTGGGGATGTGCCCTTGACCGGAATGAAACCCGGGACCCTTCAGTCCGCAGGCTGACACTCCATCCACTGAGCCAAACCAGCTAGGGCGGGAATTACACTTTTTTGGGGGGAGGGGGGGGAATTACACTTTTTAAGAAAAACTCTTACTGGGTAAATAGCATGTCATTAGGGTACCCTGAGTGGTATGGGGCAGATCATAGCACAGAGATGGAGTAACTGGGAAATGCTTATAGTGTCACCTGTCGCTCTCTGTGCAGGAGGTCTTATTCTGAAACGAGTGGCCCGGTGCACGGATTCATGCACCGGTGGGGTCCCTCGGCCTGGCCTGCACCCTCTCGAAATCCAGGACCCCTCAGGGGATGAAGGAGAGCCAGTTTCGGCCTGATCCCCACAGGCTAAGCCAAGGGACCCCACCGGTGCACAAATCCATGCACCGGGCCTCTACTATGCATATAAGATCTTTGGTTAATGTCTTCATGCCCTTTCCCTCCCCTCTTCCCTCTGAGATTCATCAGTCTGTTCCATGTTTCCATGCCTGTGCTTTCCGCTCCTGTGTTGAGCATCTGCCCCTTGGTGATCAGTGTGCATCATAGCTACCGGTCAGCCGGTTGCTTAGGCTTTTGTATATATAGATAGGAGGGGCTCAGAGATAGCCCAAAGGAAAGTTTCCTGCTGGTTTAAACCCCTTTGGATAGTATCTAATGCATTTGCAAAAGTACTGCAACTGCTAATCACTCCCATGGCTTCATCTGGCCAACCAGCAACAGGCTACAAATCGATCTTTGTACAAGGTGTTTGTTTATAATTTATGGAGCTGATAGGAAGGCAGAGCCATCTGCTCCTCCACCATCAGCACTTCTAACCCCTCCCATTCCCTGTTAGGGCGTTTTCACTTGAAAATCATAATTAGGAGAAGATTACATTGCAGAGTCTGGAACATGGTGGCTTCCTGCTGTCTTTTGCATCGTTTTTTTCTCCCCCTGGAGCTGCCCCCCTGAAGCTCTGAAGCAGTTTTGATTTGAAAAAGCCTTTCTTTCTAGCCTTTATTTCCATTCTCTGCTTCACAGCTGACTGCCCCATCATTGTTCCTCACATGTGTTTTGCTTTAAGTGCGGGCAGGTTGCTGGTGCTACAGCTCAGGGATCAAGGACTGTTGGTAAGGTAGCAATTTTCAAGTATGGCCCCAGACCAGCAGCATCAGGGACACCTGGAAAATTGTTAGAAATGCAAATTCTCTGTCCTTACCCTGACATTGTTTTTAATAAGGCTTCCAGATGATTCTGAGGCAGGCTGGCGCTTGAGACCCACTGTGGTAAGGCATGTCAGCGAGTGGAACAAAAATTGTGTGATTGCCAGTGTCTGGGACTACATTTCACTTCACCTTTTTCTCTACCTGCTTATGTTATTATTGAGACCAAAAAGGATGAGTTATCCTTGTCATTAATGCATTTCTTTCTATGGCCCAAGAAAATTAGCAACACATTGGAGAAATTTCTCCTTATATGAATTAACTCATCAAAATGTCAGCCTCCTGAGAAGCTGCACAGTAAACTGCAGCATTGACCACTCACCATGGTCACTGAGCATTTCCATTCCCGTGTGGAAATTAATAGACAGCAAGCAGCAAATGTAAGTTGCTAATTGGAGCTTTGAAATAAAAATGAAATTGTAAACACACCACCCAGCGCTCACTGAAATGAAGCTACCAAATCGCTGTGCGCCTTCCACATCCCTTCATTAGGGTAGACGTGAAAGCCTGCACAGTTTCTGAAACAGAGCATGCTGTTGGAGAAGTTCTGTTTTAGTTTTCAGCATTCTCTTTTCATTTTTAATTTGCAAATCTGTCTGTAAGCTCACTGCTGTTAGGGGGAGCAGTTGTGAAATTGGATGGAGTTGCGGGGAGGGGACAGAATTTGCAAGATGGCCATTGACTTGGAATCATCATAATATAGTACAAACACAAAGTGACTTGGATTTGAGGCTCACAAACTGCTTTTTGTCTGTATGCCCAGTTTTTCATGGACCTAAAGCTAAGCTTTCCAGAAGAAGGAAAACCTTACTTATACTTTCCTCCCCACTCCTGGCCCCTCGTAGAAATTAATATGGGAGTAAGCAATTTAATGCTCCTTTTATGTTGGTAGTCTGTTTTGAGGGTCATCATAGGCTCTGTCTGTTTGACTGAATTGTCGGTTAACACACAAATAGAAAAGCCTACTTTCATAAAATACCCACCATGCATTTTTATGTGGATAAAATAGTAACTGCAAAGCTGTCTCAAAGTCCACAGCATCCCATCTCTTTCCCTATTTATTTTCATGTCCTACTTAATATTTATGATTTCTTTACTTTGCTTCTCGTCCTGCTTTTTATGGTTATGATGTAAATTGTCAGTTTTTTATCTTTCTAAGAGCTGTGCCAACATCAAGGTTAGAAAACCGAGACGGTTACACTTGTGAAGTTTCCCACTGTTCCTTTGGTTCTGCGTCCCCAAATGGAATCATGTGTCAATCCAGGGAAGGAGGAGGAGATTGTCATCCTTTTGGCAACAGGCTTGGGACCCTGACTAAGGAGCAGACCGCCTCAGTGCTAACTAGATAAATCTAGCCATGCAGGCTAGAGCAGATGGTGGGTTGGAAGATGAGCAGTACAGAGCCCTAATGGTGGCAGTGAGTATTTGGATGTCATTATTTTATTAGTTAGCAAACAGAACCATCCTTGTGGTCCCTCCTCAGTTTTATGCGTAATGGTGCTGTTGGTATCAGCCCCAGAGAGTTGGCACAATAGCCTAATCAATGTGTTCAGATGTCTTTTTTGATCTACTCTGTCATCTCTTGCTTCATTAGTAACACAGGGAAGGGGGAATGAATATAGAGTTTTAGCTTTATCTGAGTCCCTGATTTCATAAGCTTTAAGGCCCCTGAAAAGTATTTCTGTTTTGTTTTCCTTGAGGTAATTTTGTGGTGAAACTTGCCCTTGACCTCCCAGGTCATGTCTTTGGCTTACTGGACTAGATCACCTGGAATCTGGTGAGGGCAGCTAAGCTTGGCTTTCTTTTTTTTTTTTTTTTTCTTCTTCTTTAACCATAATGCTCTGACAGCAGACATCCAAGTAATCTTCGAATAAGAGGAGTAAAGTGTCTCTGCATGTGTATATAAAATAGACCTAAATGAGACAAAGCCCAAAGCAGCTTGGTCCCTTTGAATGTGTTGTGTTGTTCTGCTTGTGCCATGATGTGGACACTCTGGTTCCAGGCACACTTCAAGGGTAAGCCACTTCTTCCTGGTGGGGAATTGGAGAAGGATTCAAATGAAAATCAAAACTACAGGCATAGTCTGCTTCGTGGGGAGCAGATTCTCTCTACCTGCAGACATTCCTCCAACACACACCCTCTTCACACACACACACACACACACACACACACACACACACACACTCACAAATTCACACTAAAGGGTGCAGACTGGGGCTGCCCATGGATATTGATCCTCACTGTGGAATTAGGTATTAGTATTAGCAAGGGGCTGTTCAGAAGATTGGTGTCTGTAAATGTTCCACTTGTTCCACTTCTCTGAAGTGATAAAGTGAGACACAAACTTATGAAATGACTTCCTTCTTCAAGGTCACAAAGCAGGTGTGAATAGGAGTCGCACCCCAAGGAAGTTTACCTGTATCACCCTTTTCCTGGAGTCAGTGGGTTTGCATTTCTTGGACTATAACAGCTGCTGAGTGGCTCTCCAGGAACAATTTATAATAACTTTTTCCTTATCTAATCTCTCAAATGATGTTTCCTAAGTGTGAACTAAGATTCAGCAGCTGATTGTGCTTGTGTTAACTATCTGAAGTTTCATATTACAGTGGTAGAGGAAAAAAAATAAATAAAATGAAGTCGTAGAGGAGACATCTCTTTCCTGTCTCTAGTGTTACTTGTTAATGACATTTGAATTTGACTAAGCAGCCTTTAGCATTTATAGAGAGGGTTCAGGCCCTTACAAAGGCCCCAAAATTACTTGGACCAGAAATATTTTTAAAATATGTTTTTATTGATTTTAGAGAATAAAGGTGGGAGAGAGAGAAAGATCTGTGTGAGAAAGAAACACAAATGGGCTGCCTCCTGCAAGCCCCCTACTGGGGATCGAGTCCACAACCCAGGCATGTGTCCTGACCAGCGACCTCAACCAACTGAGCCACAGCGGCCAGGGCTTGGCCCAGAATTTTCATCCCCTCAACTACAGACATTTTTACCCTCTTTTCTTTCTTTGATGCAGCCTCCGTGAATGTGCTGGTACAGAACTGCAAGATCTACAATGATGCCAGCTGTGACATTTCTGCAGATGGCCAGCTCCTGGCAGCTTTCATCCCTAGCAGCCAAAGGGGCTTTCCCGATGAAGGCATCCTGGCAGTGTACTCTCTGGCCCCCCACAACTTGGGTGAAATGCTCTACACCAAACGATTTGGTAAGGGATAGGAAGCCCAACCTAGTGGCAGAGGGATGCTGGTACCTTGAAATGAGCATTCCTAGGGGAGGCATGGTTGAGGTGGGAGTAATGGTCTTCATGGGCACAGACCAGAGGAAGATTGCTTTGCAGGAGTCCCGCCTGGAAGCATTGCCAAAGAATCTCAGAATAAGAGGCCTCCCTACCACAATAGCATCAGTAATATGTTGTTCCTATTGTGATGGCCAGCAGTAAGGGAGGGACTTTGGCTTGGGAAGTGGGCACACTCATAAACTGTAAGGCATTTTGGCATTGTGTATTAAAAGCCCCCAAAATGTATTTTCTCTTTGATCCAGTAATTTCACTGCTAAGGAAATAATAAGAAAACTGTACAAAGCTTTATATGCAATGATATCCACAGTACTATTATTTATCAGAGAAAAAATGTGAAATTGGGAAGAGTTGCTTAAATAAGTGATGTGCATTGATAGGACAGAATACCATTCAGCCTTTAAAATGTTCTTACAGAATATTTAATTATGGAAAATGTTCATAATGTGTGAAGTGAAAAAAGTAGATTTCAAAATAGTATTTACAGTATGTTACCAATTTTTTAAAATGTGAATCTGTTATGGGTTCCATACAGTGGTTAACATCTATTAAGTACTTTCTATATGTCAGACCCTATACTCGGTACTTTACATTATACTCCTCCTACAGTCCTATGTGTTAACCCCACAATGACCAAATGAAGATGGAGGCTGAAGAGAAAGAGAAAAGATTAAGAGGAAAAAATTATTTCCTTGTAATAGCAAGAACTCTGGGAAATGGTTCTCTCTTCTCTTGGCCCTCAGGTCCCAATGCCATTTCGGTGAGCCTGTCCCCAATGGGCCGGTACGTAATGGTGGGCTTGGCCTCACGAAGGATCCTGCTGCACCCCTCCACAGAGCACATGGTGGCCCAGGTCTTCAGGCTGCAACAGGCCCATGGTGGCGAGACCTCCATGCGGGTGAGTGTCATTGCTTGTGCTTCTGCTGTATGGCAGCTCTCCTAGGGTTGGCAGGGGAATGAAGGACAACGGGGCGATCTCCGAGCCAGGACCAGATATGCTCCTAAGGCATAAGGAAAGGCTACAGTCACTCTGTGCATGACCAACAGGCTTTACCTTTGGAAGCTGTGGAATATTAAAGGGCAGGAGCTTTCTCACACCCTAGCTCAGTGATGGCGAACCTATGACACGCGTGTCAGAGGTGACACGCGAACTCATTTTTTTGGTTGATTTTTCTTTGTTAAATGGCATTTAAATATATAAAATAAATATCAAAAATATAAATCTTTGTTTTACTATGGTTGCAAATATCAAAAAATTTCTATATGTGACACAGCACCAGAGTTAAGTTAGGGTTTTTCAAAATGCTGACACGCCGAGCTCAAAAGGTTTGCCATCACTGCGGGCCTAGCTCATGAGCTGGGTTCCCCAGAGGCCGGAAAGCATTTTTGGTTAAAGACCAAACTGAATACGTCCTTACCTCCACATGAGACCTTTAGTGGAGATACATAAAGATCCCAGTGATAGATTTAGCGTATGTAAAACTCTTTTTTTTGGAAATCAAGCTATAAAAATACACCTATGAAATGTTCTTTGCTGTGAATAGTAATCATGATGAGGACTTTGGGCAGCTGCTATACTCTTAACTGCCCTGCCATTTCAGTAGCAGAGGAAGGTCCTATTTAGGACCCTTTCTTGTCGGAGTTGGATCCCTTTTATTGCCATAAAAGCCTTCTGGACTCGACTAGACTAGTTTCTGACTGAGCTTCCACATCCCATAGTGGCTCATTTGACCAGGGTTTTGTCAAGGGGAGTCAAGCATTTGAACAGTTCTCTAACTAAATGCTATTTAAGCTCTGTTATGCACGTGTTTATGTGTTGTTTTGTGTGGTGTGTATGTTTAATCCACCCAGTTAGGTTTAGCATAAGCTCCATAGGGACATATCCCCCAGAGCCCCTCATTTAGTGTAATGCATACAAATGCCTGGAATGAAAAAACTAGAGATTAGATCCATTATATGGTGCGGTGGCCTCCATTCTGGTCTCCATCCTCTCTCTTCTCCCTCCTGGGTCCTATCCCTCCTGGGTCCTATAGGGACCTTCTGTTGAGCCCCTTTCCAAGCACCTGAATTTAATGTGCCTTTACCTGGAATGCTCTCTTTTCCCTCAAATCCAACTGCCCACAAGCTCTTCCCCTTCTGTGGAACCTTCCTAAACAGAATTGATCACTCCTTGTGCCACCACCATACCTAGTAGACACACTCATGGTAACACTCATCATACCACATTGCAGTTATTTGTTTCCATGTTACTCTACTCTCGGGCTGTGTACTCCTTGAGAACAGACAACTTGTCTGTTTTATCTTTACATAGTCTGCGTACCTAATAGGGAACCTGACATTTAGGAGGAATAAGGAATGAAAGAGAGTCTCAAGAATTGTATCCTCTCTACTCTTGGCATCATAATGATAGGAGAGTTCTGATTCTTGGATTCCATATAAACAGAAATATTTGACATGGAGTGATCAGGAGAGGACTTCATCAAGTTTATTTTCTTATCTAGATATTTGAGGATGGAGTTGAATTTTAGTTTAAATGTTCTTATTTTTCTTATCTTAAACATTTGGATGGTCAAAGTACCTGGTGTCTGCTTTTTACCACCTAGAATCCTGGTCCCAACAGCTGTTCTTCTAACCCTGCCTAATTAGGGAATAATTGTTTATAATCATCAAGAGACAGGATCTGATTTCGTCAACACTAATGGACATCTCCAGTCTCTTCCGGAAGCCAGGGCTCCTGCCCAACTCCTGGCTAAGGGCAAACAGTTACAGGGTGGGAGCCAAGATGTTGTCACATATGGAGCTGGCAGCTCAGGGAGTGCAGTTGGAGAAGTCTGCTGAGGAGATGCGGTAATTCACTGCTGTCCTGCTAAGGGGCTCAAGGCAACTAGCCAGCTGCTGCGCGCCTCGTGACAAGAGCTATTTTTCAGGCCTCCCAGCGAGGCTTTCTTGATTCTCAATAGGCACCATCTGCTGCTTAGGAGAGGGCGCTGAAGTAACTAGAAAGCTCCCATTTGGGATGTGTTCCTCTCAAGAGACAGGATCCAGGCTTCCCTACAAGGTTTTAGTCACCTGTCCACCAGTCTGACTGTGAAAGCCCCATGCTACAGAAAGGTTTCTGGTTTTCCAGGTCTTGGTTGCCCCTTAACGTCCAAAGGCACCAAAGCACTCAGCAAATGTCCCTGAATTCGTTCACTGGTGGAAGGGAAGACACCAGCTTTTTGGGATAGCTGTGCTGTACCACCATTTAAGGCAAGAAGTGCAGTTTTGTCTGAGAACAGGGAGCAAGGGTTTAATGGGACAGTAGAGCATCTCCCTCTTTGCACAGGTAAGTATAGGTGGGTGTCTCCTCTGTAATGTCTAGCTCTGTCTTTGAAGGAATGCTTTTATGGGTAATGGGCTTGTCTTAGAGCTTCTCTACCCAGAATTCTCCTCTTTGGTGTTGCCTCTTGGAATTCACTGTGGAAATATGTTCAGAGAGGTGAGCTTATTGGGCCACAGACATTCCCGAGAGAAGGTCCTCCAGAGCACTGATTTATTGTAATCCCCACTAAGTGACATCTCTCCGACAAGAGATGATCTGTTACACAATCCCAAGTGAAACCTCTTCTGAAAATGAATTGCTAGTCACTATTAGTCTTGGCACATTTATTCTAAGCAGTTCTTCAGACTCCTGGGTCAGTGCTTTTGTAAACTGTGCTACTTGGACCACCTTCATTAGAATACGTGGAGTCCTTGTTAAAGCACAGGCACCACTTCAGACTTAAAATCAGTAAGAATGGGGCGGGAGGGACCCAGGAATTTGTATTTGTAAAACAAGCTTTCCAGATGATCCTGATAATGCACTTGAGTTTGAGAACTGCTGTTCTTAATGACTCCTGTCTTCATTTTAGGTTTCTGCCCTCAGCCTCTTCAAGGCAGAGACACAGTCTCAGGTTTACTTCTTGCAGTTTTGTGTGTGGTGCTTTGATACCACCTTTGGCTAATTTTGTTGCAGGCACCTTGGCACTTATGTCCCATTTCCTACCAAACTCATCGCTTTTTGGCTGTCCGTGCTTCACCTCCCATCTTTTCTCAGCTGTTGTTGCTTTCCAGAGTTCGGCCTTGAATATCTCTGTGCTGGATTCTTTTCTTCCCCTGTTGAGTCATTTTAATTTTTATCCTGTTTCTAGGCTCTCGTGTCTATTGCTATTTCCCTTCTCTGCTTACTGAAGTTAGTCTTCCCAATTTTAGTATGATTGGAAAGTCAGGAAGAATAAGACGAGGCACATACTTTTCTCCCCCCCACCCCTCTGTCCATTCGAAGCTCCTGCAGACCAGATAGGCAGGGTCTTACTTTCTGTTTGACTCACAGTTGAGCCAGGGAGGGCTTTTTGTTCATTTCTGTTTTGTTTTTTAGTTAGGCATATTTAGGAATTGCTGAGCTAAAGTTTTGCTAAATTCTCAAAACACTATAAACTGCTTGTGTTCCCTCTCTGCTTTCATTTTCTAATTGGAACAAGGCACAATATAGTAACAGAAAACTGCAATTAATTTTCTGAAATACTGGCAACTTGCACATTATAATAACTTTGATTGTAACCAAGTGAAAACATAATAAAAAAATTAGTGACGAAACCAGAAATAGTCATATACCAAACTGTTCTTCCAGTTTCTGTCAGTATTAAGTGCTATTTTACCCTGGAATGGAGGCAGAGTCAGCACCTAGGCGTGGGGGTGGGGGAGATGCTGGATCCTTTTGAGCTAGAAAACAAGAATAGTTCTAGCTGGTTTGACTCAGTGGATAGAGCATCTGGCTGTGGACCAAAGGGTCCCACATTCGATTCCCATCAAGGGCATGTAACTCAGTTACAGACTCCTTCCCAGCCCAGGCCCTGGGGCCCTGGATGGGGCGCATGCAGGAGACAGCCAATCGATGTGTTTCTCTCACATCCATATTTCTCTCTGTCTTTCCCTCTATCTTCCACTCTTTCTAAAAATCAATGGAAAAAAACATTCTTGGGTGAGGAGTAAAAAACAAAACAAAAAAACACAAGAATAAGGATTAGTGCTTTCTGCACAGGTTTTAACAGGTGTTATGTACTCTTTCCCCAAGTGCATAGAGTATTCCTCTCACAGGTGGGGGCTGTAGGCATATATAAGTGGTTTAATAAGAACCGAAAAGCACCCTGGTTACATAATCCCTGTAGATCCAAGAGGCACTAGGTTGCTTGGATCTCACTGGTGCTTTTTCTCTCTGGTCATCTTATTGACAGAGTGATAAACAGGACACTTCCTTTGACTTGAGTGGGAGTAGAAGCTCTAGGACTCTACTTTCTTAGCTCTACTTTCTCCTTGAAATAGCATTGTGCTCTTGAAGGCAGAGCCTCAAACACTGAGAGGTTAATTTGGCTTAAAGCTTTTTCTTTGTGGCTATGCGGTAAAATTATATTCAAGTGTTGGTCGACTTACCTACATAGATCGTTAGTTTGGAGTGGATGTTAGAAGGCCTTTCCCTCATCCACTCTTTCTTCCTTCCCCTACCCCTATTTAAGAAAAAAAAAGTGTTTATTGATTTTTAGAAAGAGGGGAAAGGAGGGAGAGAGAAACATTGATCGGCTTCCTCCTACACGTCCTCCCCCTCCTTCCCCCCCTCCCGCCCCCCCACTTTGGGGACGGAGCCCACAACCTAGGCATGTGCCCTGACCAGGAATGGAACCAGTGACCTCGTGGTGCATGAGTCGACACTCAACCACTGAGCAACACCAGCCAGGCTCTCCCCTATTTTTTTCTCTTCTCTCTCTTCCTGTTCACTCCCTTTCCCCCCACTTCTTGACCCTAAGAGTTCTGCTCTGCAGTAGTGGACTGTTTCATATGCCATCTCTCTGGAGAATTTTAGCTCTAGAGATATGCATCCCTCTT